CATCTCGGACTCCATCTCGGACACTTCCACGTGTCATGTGTTGGTCCTTTTGGGTCCCTTTTTAGAGTCTCACTTATTGCTCGCTTCGTGCTTGTTCCTCGAGCACATTTTTGGGAGTTCCACTCCCGCTCTCGACCTTCCAAGTCAGAGCTTTTAGTCCAAATGTGTTACGCTTGTTTGGCTTTTGCTTTGGCCACTACCACGTGGCACCCTTTCCAGCTCCACTTTGGGGCCTAGGGACTTTGTGTCTCACAATGAAGTGGACCTAATTGTGTATATGAGCAATCTCGAGCTTCAACTTTAGTCATTGTGGATGGTGCCGAGTTAAGCTTTTAACCTCATCTTTGGTATAGATTAGTTGCAACACAATTATGTCAAATATAACTTTGAGGCTTTTCCCCCTTGTTTCATACTTTTTTATATTTCTTCCATTTCTCTTACTTTTGTTACATATTATATCTTACCCTTAAATCAAAAATAATATTTTATTAAATGTAATATAGGGGCTTAAATTATCTCCCCAAAGGGTAGACAATAACTTTCCTTTACTTCTACCTCTACCTCCATCACTTTTATCTCTCTATTACTTCTTTATATGTTTCTGTCTTATTCCTCTATACCCTCTTTAAATCGTTTTGACAATTTTTGTCTTGTAGTGGTTGATTGAATCATGAAGTAGTATGTCAATTTTTTTGAATTTGACTTATTATCTAGGGCCAAAATTGCAACACATCGTCCTATTCTAATTAGGAATGCTCGTTTAATCAAGGTTTCTATTCATCATTGATCACCAAAGGAGATCAAAATTTTACATATAAATATCAAGAAAATGTTAAAGAAAGGTGTTATTTGAAAGTTATGAAATCCTTGAGGATATAAACTTCATTTTGTGATGACACTTGATAGGAGTATTTGTTTTTACATTGAATATCGTTCATTAAACAAAATGACTACCTTAAATTTGTGCCCTCTTCCTCACATTATTAATCTCTTAGATCATCTAAGAGAAGTCTTTGGTTTACCAAGTTACATCTTGTTTATGGGTATTAAAAAATGCTGACTACTGAGGAGGATATTTCTAAAACTATTTTTCATACACCATTTGATTTATACGAGTTTTTAGTGATGCCATTTATTTTGAACAATACACTAACAACTTTCCACTGGAGTATTTTTTAAACCAAATGGCATCACCAAGAACTAAACCAATAATTTCTCCCTATAAGAGATCAGTAATGTGAGGAAGAGGGTACAAATTTGGGATAATCACTTTATTTAACTAATGATAGTCAATGCAAAAATAAAGACTCCCAATAGCCTAAAGACTCTGTGATGTTCAAATAACACTCTTCTTCAACATTTCTTTGACATTTGTACGTAAAATTTTAATCTCCTATAGTGATCAATGATAAATAGGAAACTTGATTGGATGAACATCCCCATTGAGCGTAGACCACTCTTAAGCTCATTAGTTGAAGAGTTGAACTCATGATTTTTTCAATTATAATTTAATATAAACAATATAAACTTTAAAATATTAAAGTTATGACAAACCTAATAATTTTACAACTCACTATATATTATATAGATAAAAATGTTCTAAAGGACAATTTTTGTTCTAACAATTTAAATATTAATTATAGGCCATAATAGAGATGTTTGTTACAAGATGTTGAATTTAAAAATTATTAAATTTGAAATAAGATTCTATGTAAGGCCATATAATTATTTGAAAGGAAAAAAAACTACCATTGATGTAAGCTTGTTGTATATAAAAGAGAGATTTAGTTTTTCTCTAGAATGCATTCTTGAGGGTTTGTTATAGTATAATTTTTAGAATTTATAGAACTTCATTTGCACTTTTATTCAAAAAGAGGGAAATACACATAAATGTCTTTAGGTTATAATGTTGATAATTTTAACTTTTACAATCTTTCTTCTCAGGGTAGTGATTCAAAGGCTAAAAGCTGCAATGGTTGTCCTATTGCACAACATAACCAAACCATATAAAATAAAACAAGAGAGGATAATAAAGATAGTGATCACGAGTTGGAGATAAATGCAATAATAGAGGGTGTAACAAATTGGGTGAAAAAGAATGCTCTCTTACTTGTTTTAAAAAACTATAATTTTGTGATTTTCAAGAAATGCATTATATGTTTTAGTGGCTTTTTGTGGAAACAATGGTGATGATTAGTATGATGGTATATATGCTCTTGTGACACACTGAGAAAGGCTACCATGAAATATTTTTTAAAATCATAAAGATAGAAATGAAAACATACAAGTACTATGGGCAGTATTGTGAAAAGAACACTTGCAAGTATATGAAATGAAAACATGTTTTTTAGTAATTATATAAAGTATAATAAATTTATAATATTGATAGAGAATAATGGAGACAATACCAATAAATTTAATTGCCTTACCTTTTTTTGGTGGCCTCTTTACATCTCTATGAGAATAGTTTTGGTTTTGTCACATATGTCTCCAAGTCTCCTCTCAAAATTGAAACTAAATTTCTCAAGGTTTTCAATCTTATTCAAGGTGAGCTTAACCCCATTAGCAAGTAACCATTCTTTAGGTACTACATCAGGTTTTGTCACTATAGTGTTTTCATGTCACTTCATATAGTTAGCATTAGTGTTGCAACAATATAGCTAGCACCATCTTGAAAATCCTATTTACTATTGTTCTTTATGGAAATATGGGGTTAAAACAAAAGTAAACTTATTACCACGAATCTAGGCTTAATATTTGCTCTTCAAAAACATCTCTATATACTTTATATTAGATTTTGCTGGCACTTGGCACATTGCCTATTGCTTCGACTCCACGATATGGTAAACAATTTCAACCTATTATAATACACTCTTTTCATTAACTATTGAGGTGGCTCAATCTAGGGGCAATATCTTAGAGTAAAATGGTACTTAACATTATATTTGTGAGAGCTTTTTACTCCAAGGTCTATACTAATTGTAGCTCATGTGATCATGGGATGAGATTTGGATATACTATCACTATGGATCCTTGGAACCTTGGGGAATAAATAGGGATAAAATAGTCATTAAGGGCTCTCTCATTAAACAGTTGCCCCTTTTGTAGTTAACTTAATGGGTGTATTACATATAATATTAAAACAAATAGTATAGATTTAATTCCCATTGATTAGTGGCTACTTAAAAATATAATATACCCTTGAGCAAGGTATATTCTTACCTATAAAATTTGAAATCATACATATCCTTCCTTTTGGTGGAGCATCCATGAACAAAAGTATTCACCATGGGACTATGGGCTTGCAAAGATAACAATTAAACAGTGACCCTTTGGTCTTAAGAACAGGTTTTCATCTCCTTAGAAAAAAACAAAGTGTCTTCGTGAGGAATTTCTTCATGCATTGCAAACAGCTGTAGACTGAAAGTGTTCTCAAGCACGCTTGAGAACATAGCAGTGTGTGTGAGAGAGAGAGCCAGAGACCATTCCAGTGACGGCTGAAAAGCTAGGAGTAGGAAAGATTGGCTAAAGAAGCTGTGCATAGCATTTATTTGGTGGTGCAAGCTAGTGGGCAACAATCCTATTGCAAGAGGGCCCTTGGAGCTGCAAGTGGTGAGCTAGATGAGCTCAGGAGCAGCCAGGGCAAGAGGAAGAAAAAGAGGAGCAGCCCATGGATTAGCAACTTGGACTATCATACCCACCCTCAAATGCCCATGAAAGAGGAGTGTTCTTTGTGGTCCAGTAAACGTAAGTACCCAAATTTGCATCATGAAGAGGATATGTATATTCCAGCTCCACAGAATTTAAAGAGATGTCAATGCAAGGATTGAGTGAGGAACCGCCAGATCGTGGCGGCGTACGCGTACTGGCTACAAGCTTCAAAGCGATCTTTTCAGTAGCACGAGAATCCTGATTCCATGCCGCAGAGAAGACGCACTCACCTCAATAACAGCTTTGCTTTCCAAAAAGAAACAACGAAAACGAAACGTCTCAGCCTGCAGCACCAGATTCGCTGCTATCTAAGGTTTCCAAAATGGTGGCTGTACGAGCGTCGAGGCCGCCGCTGGGTCGGCCAAAGGAGGGCTGGAGAAGGGATGGAGGCACTGGACATGCCGCTCGATTCTTCACTACGCTCGATTCTCTGGTGAAGAAGAGCGAAACCCGTTCATCAGGCAAGCTGATCGAGGACTTTGAGAGCAGTTGCCAAGCTCTTCGCGTTCTGCAGGTAACCGTCGGTGAAGGCCTTCCAGAGAAAAGCCCCAGGCGCCCCCGCACCCGCTGCTCGTGGGAAGAACTTCTCGTTGACACGCATGGCCTTCCCCGCGGTATCCGCATCAGAAAAGCTGCCGAGGTGAGAGAAGTCGACCACAAACCGGCACGCATTCTGTCCGATCTGGACTTCGACATCGGCTCCGTCCAGCGAGAGCTCGTCGTGCAGGAAAGCCATGAAGATCCCGAGGTCGGAAGCCACCGCTGCAACGTCCACTCCCAAGAGATCCCGTGCAGCCTTCCACCCAACAGCCGGCTTCCTGTACTTGTGGATCCTCGCCCGCTGCTCATCGCTGAGCTCTGGATACTCGTCGATGCACGTCTCCTCCTGGCCAAGGTAGAGGCGAAGGATTCCCGGCTCATACTCCGCAGGCACGACACGGTACCACACAGAACTCTGGAATGCGGGGATCTCCTCCATGACCAGCACGCTCCTGCCCCAGTGCTTCTCCTTCTCTGGAAACTGTGCGGGGAGCCCGTAAGCATCAGCTGCCTCCTGTAGCGAGCTGTGGAAAGAGAGGAGCTTGCAGACCTTGAGCTCCTTCTCCTTGGCAGCCCAAGCCATGGCAATGAGTTCCTGGAACTTGCGCTCGGCCCGCTGATCGTTGCCTTCCATGCTCACCTTAAACGCTTTCCCCCCAAATCCATACACGATCCCGCTCGCCGCGCCACCGCCAAGCACACGGACCACCATCTCCAATTAGGGTTCCCGCCAATTAGGGTTCTTGGAGACTTCCTCCCCAATCGGCGATGGCGCAACCCGGCTTCTGGGCGGAGCAGGTCCAGATCATCCTTCCCTCGGACGATAACAAGTGAGTGGTCGAGAATGGAACGCGATCGATCATCTGTGTGTGCAGGGGTGTCAAGCTTGGCGAGGACCGGCTGCGCGGCTGCCTCCGCCTGGTGGAAGCCGCCTTCTCAACGAATCAGACGTTCCGGCGCGTCGCATTCCTGCTCACGGAGGACGCAAAGATCCCGGCGTTTGTGCGGCTGCTGCGCGCCTCCACCTCCAGGCTGCTCATCGGCAGCTTCTTGCCGGAGCAGAGCTGGCTGCTTGGGGCGCTGGACATGATCATCGCCACTCCCGGCCAGGCTCTCCACTACGACCGCGCCGGGCACCTCTCCTCCATCACCGTCAGGGCGCTTCTCATCGACAAGCAAGCCAGCGCCGATTCCGTCGCACAAGCTTTCAGCTTTGCCAGCGCCTTCGCAGGCTTCGAAGAGTTTGCAAGCTTTAGCAAGCTGGACGTCCAGCCAAGGCAGTGGTTCGCTCCTCCACGCCCCGCTCCAGCGAGCTCACACTTTCTGGAGAAGTACATGCCTCGTAAGTCTGTCTTTGCGTTCTAGCTCGAGGTTTTCGTTCATCTGATATCATTCCAGTGACGAAGTGCTACGATGGTTGGGAAGACTCGCTCTTCACTTCGGGGCTGACCATGTTTTCCTGGGGGAAGAGCAACGTTCTCATCCACGACTGGGCCGATCTGCCGCTCTTTCTGCCTGGCATCATTCGCTGCTCCCGGTCTCGTGTCGCCGCTCCTCTCGTTCTAGCTCCAAGAGACAAGCTCCCTCTCATGGCCGAGCTTCTTCAAGCCTGCGCAACCGAGCTCGGCGTCGGCGCTCTCAACATCAGCAACAGGGAAGGTGCTCATGTCCTTGTAGACTCTATTGACGAGCTTGTCATGCCCAGCTACGTGGGAAGTCTAGTCGTCGTCCAAGCTGACGAGCTACTCGAGTCTGCTTGTGCATGGAAGGTACGTGACTAAAAAACTTTCCAGGGACACTCTTTGGGAATGCACAGCTTTTTCGTTGCAGATCCGTCGCCTTGTAAACCTCTGCATGCCTTCCCAGATCGGCATACACTGCTCCACAAAAACCCCAGCCGTGGAGGAGCTGCTCAGTGCCAGGACGCTGTACTCGATCCCGGAGGCCAAAGTTTCAATGCGGGGAGTGTGCGAGTTCTTTGCTCTAGCGGACAGCAAGCACGAGAAGCTGGAGAAGCTATGCACGATCTGGGAGCAGCTCGAGAGCTCCAAGTGCCGCGTCTCGATCTTTTGCATCGGCTCTAGCACCGTGGACTGGCTCGTGGAGGAGATGAGGAACCGGGGTTTTGTGGCGTGGGCCTTGCACAGGGGCGAAGAAGTGGACCCGGACGTGTACAGGAATCCATTCTCGGTGATTGTCACGGACGTCTACCGGAGGGCCTCACAGGACGTGATCAACTTTGATCTGCCTGGAACGTATGACGAGTATGTGCAGCGTGTTGGTAACGATCGAGGCAGGAGCATCAAGGTGGTGATCAACATTGGCACTACTGAGGAACAGCGTTGCTTCCCTGACATGGTACCGCTGCCTGCTGATTGTTATCGCATCCATACCAAGCTGCCACTCTGGTTTGATGTGTGAAGTTCGCGTTTTTCTTTCTTTCATATTAGTATATTGTAATTGGTTGATAACTAATCTCGAGTATTTTACAAAAGGTTGGCTTTAAATATTTCGCAAAGAACGATTACAAGAAAAAAGATGTGCAAATGGGCCTCCCCAGATCCATCCCCAAGCCACAAACAGGATGGTTAGATTAATTTTGTATTTATAATTTATAAACTTTCTTAAACTTTTCCTAGTATATGTTTTTTATTCTATCATTTAATGGTTGATATGCAATCAAATTAATCTTGTATTTATAAATTACAAATATGCTTATAATTATAAACTTTATTTGATCAATTGGATTAATGTAGCACACCTGGTTTTGTCCCTTTATCCTATAGTGATTTACCATAGGATAACCACAAAGTAGAACTTAAACCAGTCATATACCATATGTCTTAAGGACAATGGTGTAAAGGGCCTTAGGCCACTGAACAAAAGAACAGTGCCAAACTCCTAAATATAGAGCCAAAAAGTGATGAAACCGAACCACGGAGCAACTCTCAAACATATAGGCCAAGGAGCGAAGGGACAGGAGCCTAGAGCAACTTAGAACAGTCTTAAAACAACTAACATCCTAATGCTAGGACCAGTATGCAAAATGGAGCCAAACAGAGCTGGCGTTATTTCGGCATACTGGTGGCCTAACACGAGGATATAGGTATTCCACCAGCTAGCATAGAATGAAACTTGGGCTTAGACCCAAGTCGGACGTAGAACAAAGACAGGCACGCAAGCGGGAGCTAGACTATGCCTTAGGTTATTCGGCCATGCTTGACCTACCCGCTATCCCTACTATACATTTGGAAACCCCCCATAGCTTATGCTGAGAATGACTTACTTGCGATCCAGTCTTCACCATGATCACTCAAGACGCTCGAATTTAAACCACGCACTGTTTTCAAGAAGGCTATGTATACTTGCTACTGCCACTGCCATCCACATCACCTCCACGTCTTACGAGAATGGGGTTCTACGTGGCTGCAAGCGAGAGCTACTAAACACGAAAGCAAATTAATGTTCATTTTAAACGAAGATTGAAACATTAGCTGATGGATTAGTTACTACTAAACATGAAGGAACGAAATTAGTTAACTAATTACAATATACTAATATGAAAGAAAGAAAAACGCAAACTTCACACATCAAACCAGAGTGGCAGCTTGGTGCGGATGCAATAACAATCAGCAGGCAGCGGTACCATGCCAGGGAAGTGACGCTGTTCCTCATTAGTGCCAATGTTGATCACCACCTTGATGCTCCTGCCTTGATCGTTACCAATACGCTGCACATACTCGTCATACGTTCCAAGCAGATCAAAGTTGATCACATCCTGTGAGGCCCTCCGATAGACGTCCGTGACAATCACCGAGAATGGATTCCTGTACACGTCCGGGTCCACTTCTTCCCCCCTGTGCAAGGCCCACGGTTCTTCATCTCCTCCACGAGCCAGTCCACGGTGCTAGAGCCAATGCAAAAGATCGAGACGCGGCACTTGGAGCTCTCTCACACTGCTTTGTTCTCAAACGTGCTTGAGAACACTGTTAGTCTACGGCTGTTCGCAATGCACGAAGAAATTCCTCATGAAGAACACTTTGTTTTCTAAGGAGATGAAAACCTGTTCTTAAGACCAAAGGGTCACTGTTATCCTTGCAAGCCCGAGATTCTCGCATTGTAATCATCTCTAACTCACTTGGTGTCGATTTTGCATGCTTCTGCTGCCACGTTCCTACCACACCTTGTGATACTAAGCTATGGATCCTCCTGTTGTGGAGATAGCTAGATGCTGGGACATTCACGTGCAGCAGCAGCTATTTGGAGACAAGTCCTCGTTAGCAGCACCGTCCAGCTCGAGTGGATACCAGCAAATGCTCCAACAACGTGCAGTTCCCTTGTCGTCTCAACATCATGGCAAAGCTCCTGAACAGGGGAACGTGCTCTAGACAGCTACACATGCACACCACATCACAGTAGCCACGTGAGGACAGAAGAAAAAGGCCACAGTTGCTCAACAGTTTGACAGGGAAATTGATCCGGCCCTGAAAGAAGCGCTACCTGCTCAGCTTACAGGTCAATTTCCCTGTCAAACTGTGGCCTATTTCCATGCCACGTGGCTTGAGTGATGAATTTGTTCATTACACCTTTCTAGGGTGGTTTCTCACGGTTCAGCACAGCAACCACAAGAAAACTTTCGACTTTATGTCCCTGATTTCAATGACACCACCTTCTTCAGACTGCTAGCATTAAGGCACACAGGTTTAGAAGCTTCATTAGAGAAGCATAAAGGTGGCAGAAGTCCACAGCAATATTGAGCTTCTCAACCTCCTCTTTCTCTCATTCATGCTCTTGTATAAAATGGTGATCTTTATTTTTCCTGTGCTCAAATACAGATGGAGAGGGTGCTATAGATCAGAATATTGTTGGTATCTAACTATCTCCTCAATAACAGAGGAATGCACCAGACTCTGTTGCATAACCCCTACTATATTAATGTGGGTAATTGGTGAAAAGTGAAGAAATAACAAGAAAAAAAAGAAGAAAAAAAAAAGAAAATGGCAAAGAAAAGTGATGAAAACTAATAGAAAGAAGTGTGGGAGAAAGTGTGAAGTTCTAGAATCAAAGGGAAATTATATAGAAAAACTTGACAAAAGAATTAGCCACTAAAAAGTGGAAAGACAAAGTAAAAGAGGCTAAGAAGCAAATAGATAAGAAAGCCCATACCAGACAATTTCTATGAGGTCCCCAAACTCATGAAAAATACTCCATTGATCTCCTAATTAGTCCCCATAAGTTTCCAAAGAGTGGTGGTTGATGTGAATGTTTTAAATAAGATTGTGATGGAATGGCTAAATAGAGATATTGTAGAAGTTGATAGCCTTAAACTTGTATTTGATGGCTTTTTCTGGTAGAAAAGTAGCTTTTTGGTGATAGCATTTGTCCACTGATTGCCTGGAGTTGAAGAAGTTGCCAGCTTTTGGACTATATCTCATAGTTTTCTGGTCACTCCTGCTAGTTGGGAGTCACTCGCCAATCCACTCCTAGGATTCTAGTACATTGTGACTGAAGTGAGGTCTTAGCTAGAACTTTTGATTTCTTGTTAGAATTCTGTGATTTCTGTTCTTGTTGATAGCTTAGGATGTCCTTGATGAAGTGATGTGAAGAGATTTTATGGAAGGCGATGGAGTATGGAGGAAAATAGAATGATCGCACTGTGGGCATGTGTATTGTGTAACAAGCAATGGTGTAGGATGTCATAGAGAACCAATTTGCAACAGTGGCTGATTGAAAATAGAGGGGAATGCATGCAGACTGAAGTGAATAAAAAGAACTTGGAAACAAATGGAGGTAGAGCCAGGAAATGCAATGAGCTCCCACACAAATGAAGTTGATGCCACCTCATGACCAAAGCTCGGGCTGGAACTTGCTGCATGATAGATATTTGTCCTGGAAAGAGAGAGGAAAGTGAAAGAAAGTAGAATAAAAGAAAATGAAATGAGAAAGAGCATCACCACTAGAGAAGAAGACTGTGTCTCCAGCTCTTGATGAATGAAGCCATGCTAAAGCTCGCCTCTAGAGGGTAGAGGGAGTCCAGAAGGATGCCTCGGCCTCCACTGGAAATGTCGGAGTTTGAGTCTTTGAGAGAATCTGGAGAGATCACAAATGATGTTGTTGGAGAACTTGAAGTTGGAGGCTGTGCTGAGCAGCTGTGGTCTTGCTAGATCTCTGTAGACTGGAAGACTGAAAGGCTCAACAATGAAGACCGTGCTAGAATCTGAAGCTGGAGCTGGAAGAATTCGAGGAGAAAGCTGTGTCTTGTTGGAACAGTGTTGCAGATGCAATGTGATGACTCCAAGATGTTGGTGTCTGGCTGGAAGCTGAAGAGTGTGGCCAGTAGTGTTTGGGAAAACCAGGAAGAAACTCCTGAATGTGGCAGAAGTCTAGAGAAAGAGCCGCTACTTTATTGTCGCCAACTTTTTGGGAACCATTGGATTTTGCATGCGCCACGTTGAAAAGCTTCTATTAGTGTCTCAGGTTCATGGGAGGGCCTCCATGCTCACAACACAAAAGAGCTGGAGCCAAAATGATGCTCGGGGTGGTCGTAATGCCTTTGCCTGTCAAGTTTATGGGGATCCATGAAAAAGTACATGGGTTTGTGAGCTTTTTCCTGTAAAGGACAAGTTAATACACAAGCACAAATGGTTGGTTGGATATGTGGCCCAGGACAGGCACTCGAACTGCATGGCAAGGCTTTGTTCTCCAACTGCTGCAAGTGGCATACTCAGGCATTTGTTGAAAATGACTGGATCGTCTGCATTTGCCAAAGAAGCTTCTGCCATTGGATGAAGGTTCATCCCTGTGGCCTTCTCTTGAGTCTCTGTACCACCAGAATCCACTACAATAGGTGTTGTTGCCTTAAATATTTTGCAAATGTTGGTTCCAAGCTTATCCTTGTGCAAACTTGGATGAAATACTACCTCCAAAGGTGACGGTGTCCACCTGAGATGCCTGGTCTTCACCCGAAGAGGTCAAGTCATGTAGAGCTGGTGAGAAACTGTTGTGGTGAGTGATGATGCGACAAAACATGATCTCAAAGGGTTATGTGAGCCATCTCCACAGTAACCGAAGCACTCACTGTCCCAGAACTCGAGGAGGGGATGAAGAACATGCATGCTGTGTGGCAATTTGCGGCTGCATGCCACGGCCTCCCAAGTATCAAAGAATATTTGAGTAAGGGTGCTGCAAGTGCGGTGTAGTTGACTACGATGAGATCTACACTTGCAGTGACTCCATGCACTGAGATTGGTACGTCAGAGCAGATTCCAGCAAGGTTGATGCTATAGTTTGCAAAAGTCTTGAGTAGCACCTGATAGTTTGGAGAGATGTTGAGCCCAGTACGTCATGCAAGCTCAAGTGATGGTGTTGGTGCTAAAACCCAAGTCGGCCAAGGCATTGACAATGGAAATCCACATTGGGATGATGAAAGCTCTTGGATCAGAAGTCACTCGTGTAGTCACAGTGTGGACGGGTCGACAGTGAGACGAACGTGCCAGATGCTCTCACC